AAATCTATGCTGCCGTTTCAACCCTCCTAGCGCCCATATATGGGTGGCGTATGGGAAGCGAGAGTAAAGAGCTTCAAACATTTCTTTTACAAGGACTCTTCCTCTTTCAAGTACACGACACTCTTGTCCAAATTAGAAGCTTGCCTCTACTCGACGCCAATCCATCCCCTCTCAGAGAACCCGTCTGACCTACTGGTCCTCCTAGTAGGCGGTCCTCTCATATCGATTTTGGAGCCTGTAATTAAAAAGAGTACAGCCTCCATCCTGAACGGCTGGCAACATCTAAAGACCCTTAATCAGCTATTTTGTTTCTATTGGAAAGAAGAATATCTCAATGAGTTTCACCAAAGGAATAAATGGCAACATCCAAGGAGAAACCTTCAAAACGCCGACATGGTTATCGTCAAAGAAAGTAACTAGCTCAGCTGAGTCTAAGCTATGCATCCAGGCAAGGTTGACATAGTGCGCGTGCTAGATGTCCTTACAGCCCGTGGCGTCATCATGCGGATCATGCGGATCTGCGATGTCACCACTCATGTGGTGGTAACACACTATTCGTTTTTTGTGTCTTGAAATACATATTATTAAACAATCTCCTTTTCCTGGCTCAGCAAAATGGTTCCTCGCCCAAGCAACACAAACCAGCAGCGCCATCAGCCCCGAGATGTCGGGAGCGCCCTGGAGTACACATATACAAGTACTGCACCAAATGTCTGGCCCACAAGCACCCACGCTCATTGTGCACCAGCAATGATAGCTGGCGGTCCTGTTGCAAGGACTACCACAGTCTACATACAAAAGGAGAAAAGACGAAGCTAGGAGTGGGTGCAGAGCCCCGTGGAGCACTCCCAAGGTTGCGCGGAAAGCGAAGACCGGAACTTGACCCTCCCGGCGCTTTCCATCCGCCGCGCCCACATCACGGACGACGCACTCCAATTCTCCGGCGCCAGCTACAACACTGTATTCGCTCCTCCAGCGCAGGAGCATCAGTGTACCGTTTCGGAAACGGTACCAAAACCTTCGAGACTCGAGCGCTAATTGATCCGCGCCGTATGACGAGTCGCATCAATGCATCCTTGGCAACAACATTCGGGCTTTCCGTCACTCGCTTGAAGAAGGCGCTTGTACCGCCTATCTCACCGATGAAACGAACATAAAAGTTGTTTTCTATACAGAGAATAAACTTCAGATTCGGACCCCTTTAAAACGAACCAAAAAAAAAATTCGGAGCAAACTAGAGAACATCGTATTGGCGGATGCTGGGTTCCATCGGCCCGAAACCGTCTCCTTGGCGCTCAGTGCGGATCAGTATCCGTAAAAATTCCGGCGGGTTCGGTCAGCCACAATTTTAATACAATTGTGTTTTTGAGTATATGCAAATATTCTACAAAATAATACTGTTGATCATCAAGATTGGTGTTTGCGGAAGCTAACACAAATTTTAAGAATTTATGTATGCTGGTATACACACACATTCATGCACGTCTTTATTGAATTATATAATCGTCGACTAATTCAATGATGCGAACATTCTCAGGAAACTTTTCACACTCTTTTAAATGATCGAGTACTATTTGGTCATGAGTATGTGGACCTGTAAGATCGACGGTGGCGTGCCAAGTGCTAGATTTTTTGATAAACTGTTTTCAAAGAGCCATGCAGCTACTAACAAGGCATCGCATGGATTCCAATTTTTCAACATGTGTAAGAATGTCGATTGCATAGTGTTTGTTTGTTGAAGCGTATTTACCAAAATAATTCAGTCGCCAGCTCTGAAAGAGAATAGACATATGTAAATACGTACACATGTTAAAGCCATTAAAAGTCGGTACCTACAATAGATATGTTGAAACGCTCCTTGGTACATGTTTCCCATGGGAGTATGGTAATTGGGCACCGCGTTTTTAACAGCACGGCAATTGAAAATTGAACTCGGCAGAGCGTGATGAATTTCCTACTCCCTGATAGTTGCCGCCCATGATGCAAACATCTTTGATGGACTGCCTAAATTTTTTACTTATGCTAAGCCTAAAGCTGATGCTGCGCCTCGAGATAGTTATAGTTGTTCGCTTCGAGCATTTGGTGCAACAGGGACGTACCAAGTTGGGCTCGCTTGCCTTTATAATACTATTGTAAATTGATCAAATGGTACAGACTAAATCGGGTCTGCCTTCTTCTCGTTATTTAAAACAAATAAACAATTAAATCGAATATTGAGGAAATAAAATCTGTTTAATTATTTCTAGTGTTAAAAGCTATTGAAAAAGCTTGATAGTCCAACAAACCGCAAACGATAATTGTTAAATCAAATCTGTTTAATTATTTCTAGTGTTAACAACTATTGAAAAATATTAACAAAGCACCAAACTAACCATTTATAACTAGCGACAGCTGAGATGTTGCAACAAACATTCAAGCTTTCTTCTATACAAAATATTCAAACACAGGCACGCATGCGCACTTCTTATCAGCGGTTGAGCTTCTTATTTTCCTTGCCCTTAATACTTTAATATTTTTTGTATTCGTAGTCCAATCATAATACAAATTTAGGGATCTGGCATCCAATGTATGCATATACAAAACGCAAGGCATATAACTTTATATATGCTTAACCTAAGAACTTACATAATAATAATTCAATCCATTTTATGTAGAGTTCTTGCTCAGCATCAATAGCCGAGGTAACCTGCTCCGTGTCAAAGCAATCGATTAAAAATAATATCGAAATAAGTTTTTTTTTAAAGAAATCTTTTAGATTTTAAGAGCTAGAGTTAACAAAATTTGATATGCTGCTTCTATCTTCTATATATAAAACTGTTTGTCCTGACTGACTGACTGACTGACTGACTGACTGACTGGTGATCACGCACAGCCCAAACCGTAAGAGCTAGGAAGCTGAAATTTTCACTGTAGCTACCTTATGAGATGTATGTGCACGTTAAGACGGGGTTTCGGGAAATTCCACCTGCAAGTGTTGCAAAATCGCGGAAAACGTTTGTATGTAACTTTTTTGTTTACCATCCGATCGGCCTCAAACTTATTTTCAAAGATCTTTGTTCAAATTCATTTGAGGGGTGTTTTACACTTTTAGGAAAATCCGTTCCTCCTTGGTGGAAATGGAGGTCAAAGATTTGGTGGGTGAAGTTTCGCGCTCAAATTCATTTCCAAAGATCTATAAGAAAAATCATTTGAGACGTGTTTTACACTTTTCGCAGAATTTAAACTTCTTCGGGGGGAATGCGATTTAAAGATTTTTTGGGCGAAGTTTTAAGTTGTGTCCGATTTGCTTTAAACTTATTTTCAAAGCTCTACATAAGAACTTAATAAATACGTATTTCAGCGATTTGGGAAATTCCACCCGCAACAGTGGTAAATTGGCGGAAAACGATTGTATGTAACTTTTTTCTTTACGATCCGATCGGCCCCAAACTTATTTTCAAAGATCTTTGTTCAAATTCATTAGAGGAGTGTTTCACACCTTTGGAAAAATCCGTTCCTCCTTGGTGGAAATGGATCAAAGATTTGGTGAGTGACGTTTTACGCTCAAATTCATTTCCAAAGATCTATAAGAAAAATCATTTGAGACGTGTTTCACACTTTTCGCAGAATCCAAACTTTTTCGGGTGGAATGCGACTCAAAGATTTTTTGTGCGAAGTTTTAAATTGTGTCCGAGTTGCTTCAAACTTATTTTCAAAGCTCTACATAATAATGTAGTGAATACGTGTTTCAGCGATTTGGGAAATTCCACTCGCAACAGTGGTAAATTGGCGGAAAACGTTTGTATGAAAGTTATTTGTTTACCGACCGATCAGTTTCAAAATCATTTCTAATTTTTTTGAGAACATTGATTTTATAACGTACGTGCCACGGGCAAGGCCGGGTTATACCCGCTAGTCATAGTATATACATATCAATATTTTTTCATTTCAAAGCTATCGCAATGTTAAAATGGCTGTCAAGCAGAGAAGATGGCAAGTAGTTCGGTTGGTTACCGGTTCGAGACCAGTTGAGAAAACTTTTTTCTATTATTTAAATTAATTTTTATTACTCCTTAAGGAAATGTACTCGTAGCGCGATCAGTATTTGGCGTTGGTAGAAGGTTCAAGGTATCTCCTAGTCGAGAACTCCCGATTAGAGCGTCTTACTTGTTTTAATAACGCATGTGGGTATAATGTATTTGTGAAAATGTATGTAACAGGTAGAAGAAAGCATCTTCGACCCCATAAAGTATATATGTATACTCTTCGTCAGCTTCAAAAGGCGAGTCAATCTAGCCATGTCCGTCTGTCTGTCCGTTCGTATGTATGAACGCGATGATCCCAGAGCCTATAGAAGCTTGAGCTACTGTCGAAAATTTCATTGAGATCAGTTAGGAAACACAAGAGTTGTTAAACAAAACGGGTGCTTGTATTGACACATGTTTGCGGCAGCTAGAGCAAATTGTAAGAATTTATGTATGTATGTATGTATACACACACATTCATGCACGTTGATGGAGCAGTGTAAATTATAACTCAAACATATAATATTAACAGTAGCTCTTAATTTATCCAAAGAGCAAAAATATTGGTAAGCAGTTGGAATTCGGATTTTTTCCGTAAAAAATCTCACGGAATTTACACACGTCTTTGTTGAATTCTATTCTATTCTATTCTATTATTTTATGTGATGTCTGTATGTACTGATATTATCATTAGTTTCTTTCTTATTTAAAAAGAATTGTTGTTATGGAAGTCGAGGAGAGACTGTGGCAATTAGTGTGAGATCGGCACGAGTTCGAGTCCTATTGAAGGAACTACTATTTTTTAAAATTTTTTATTTATTTATATTACTGCTAAGCAAATGAGCTCATAACGCAAGCTGCATTTGCTGTTGGTAGAAGAGGATTCGGGGTATCCCCTAGTCCGAAACTCCTGACTGGAGCATCTTACTTGTTAAAATAATATTTTGGTGGTGTTGGTAGAAGAGGGTTTAGGGTATCCCCTAGTCGGGAAAAATGTGGTTTTCATTGGCATTCTTTATTTACGGAAAATAACCTTTTTTTTCAGTCGAATACGTTGCGCAAGCCTGCAACCCACTCCACAATATGCTTAAAGAACTTGTCATCGACCAATTCAATGATGCGAACATTCTCAGGATACTTTTCACACTCTTTTAAATGATCGAGCACCATTTGGCCACGAGTATGTGTACCTGTAAGATCGACGGTGGCGTGCCAAGTGCTAGATTTTTTGATAAACTGTTTTTCAAAGAGCCATGCAGCTACTAACAAGGCATCGCATGGATTCCAATTAGTGTATCCATACTTCTGTAGGGGCAACCATTGTGCATTTTCAACTTGTGTAAGAATGTCGATTGCATAGTGTTTGTTTGTTGAAGCGCATTTACCAAAGTTATCTAGTCGCCAGCTCTGAAAGAGAAGACATATGTAAATACGTACACATGTTAAAGCCATTAAAAGTCGGTACCTACAATAGATATGTTGAAACGCTCCTTGGTACATGTTTCCCATGGGAGTATGGTGATTGGGCACCGCGTTTTTAACAGCACGGCATGTGCTGCCTCCGGATCTGAGTGAAAATTAAACTCGGCAGAGCGTGATGAATTTCCTACTCCCTGATAGTTGCCGCCCATGATGTAAACATCTTTGATGGACTGCCCAAATTTTTCACCATACATAGTGAAGCCCAGCGCTAAATTAGTTAACGGTCCCACCGCAATAATGGTGATTTGTTGAGGTCGATCCTGGCATAACGTGTGTATGGCCAAAACAGCATGCTGTGGCTGCACATAACTAGACACATGCGCCCAGTTTTCTTCATTCAAGCAATCGCCGAAACCATCGCGCCCATGAAAATACTTCCTGCTAGCTTCGACGTAGCCTGCTAGAGGTTCAACAGCTCCCAGATAAATTGGTACCTAAGCGGTAAGGGCAGCATACGATAATTGTAAGTAACAAAGCACCATTTATAGCTAGCGGCAGCCGAGACGCTGTAACAAACATTCAAGCTATTTTTTATAGCAAGTAAGAGGCTCTAGTCGGGAGTTCCCGACTAGGGGATACCCTGAACCCCCTAACCCAGCTACGAGGTTATTTGCTTTAACAGTAATATATATATAATAAAACAAGTGAGAGGTTCTAGTCGGGAGCTCCCGACTAGGGGATACCCTGAACCCTCTTATTCCAACACCAAATGCAGCTCGCGCTACGCGCTCGTTTGCTTTAAAAGTAATAAATATAAATTAAAAAAAAAAAAGTTCCGTTGGTTCCGTTCCACACCAATAATTAAGCCTTAATGAGAAAAAAAAAAACTAATTCAAATAGCAGCACAGAAAACAATACAATCGCAATTGCAATGCTGTTGATACAATTCAACGCAGACGCTCATGAATGTGTGTGCGTACATGTATACAGAAATTCTTGGAATTTGCGTTTGCTGCTGCACGTGTTTGCATTTTCTTTCATGTTTCTTAACCGACCTTGATGAAATTTTCATTAGATCTTATTGTACTATAAAACATTCGTGTATTCTCAAAATGACAATTGCATTTTAATTGTGGCTTAAACAGGTAGGCAATACAAGTTGGTTTAATAACATGATTTATAGGTTTGTGGTGGTAGCGGGGAGGTGGCGATAAGTTTAAAATGAAAAATACTTGATATATATATACTATTTTAGAAGCTACATGTCAAGTTTGGTGACTCTAGCTTATATTATTTACCAAAATTGCTCAAAAAACAGGATTTCGATATCGATCGGAAATAAACTTGATCTGCGCATGGACTAGGAGGACCTACAGCTAAAATTTCAGTAGGTTCTGAGATCCTTGCGTTCATACATACGGACGGACGGACAGACAGACGGACATGGCTAGATCGACTCGGTTACTGATGCTGATCAAGAATATATATACTTTATGGGGTCGGAGGCATTTATTAGATTCACTGTGCTTTTCGAACATAAAGTAAATTACTGCTATTGGTGCAGGTGTTGGCCGACGGGCGGAACAGTACGACGATAAAGGGTTCGGTACAAAAGAGTTCTTTAGACTCAACTCTATCTGAGAGTTGTTGGCAGCGCTATCGCCACCGGTAGTGGAGAATCAGAACACCACAAATGCGCTGCTTACTATTGTTTACATCTTCTCAGCTCATAAGCAATAAGGTCTTAATTGCGGGGTCGTTAACATCTAGGCACAACTAAATCAAGTTAGCTGCCAAGCAACAATTATATCCTTATAAATTGGTATCAAAGGGGCCACAGTTCTTTTAATCTGTTCTAAGTCACTAGCGTCTGAAACCCTGTGTTGGCTTAAAATTTAAAAAATAATGCATAAGAAAGAAAACTATTAGTAATAACAAGTAAGAGGCTCTAGTCGGGAACTCCCGACTACGGGATACCCTGAACTATCTTATTCCAACACCAAATGCAGCTCGCACCAAATGCAGTAGTGCATACCGCACTACTTGCCGCCGCCTCAACTCAATAGCCACAGCAATAATTGAGTCTTAATGAGGCAAAATCGAATTAAAATAGCAGCACAGAAAACAGTACAATCGCATTTGCAATGCTGTTGAAAGAATTCAACGAAGAAGCGCTTGAATGTGTGTATACATGTATACAGAAATTCTTGCAATTTGCGCTTGTGGCCCAAAACTCGTGGCCAGCCAAAACACGTTTTCTTTAATAACTTCTTTGTTTCTTAACCGATCTTGATGTTATTTTCTACAGTAGATCTTATTGTGCTATGAAGTATGTGCATATTCTCAATTTAATCGCATTTAAATTGTTGCTTATGCTGGTGGGCAGTATAAATTGGTTTATTTATTTGATTTATATCTATGAGGTCGTAGCGGGAAAGTGGTATACTTGGTATAGCTTTTTAATCTATCCCCATTCACAAGAAATGTGGAAAGTCTGATATACAAAATTACAGGGGCATTGCAAAACTGTCTGCTATTCCTAAATAATTTTTAAAAATAATAACTTTAAATATGCAGCATTTCTGCAAATCAGTTGTCACCCCTGTTCAACATGAATTCGTAAAGAATTGGTCAACTACGACCAATCTGCTAGAAATTACTTCCTTGGTAAATGATCCTTTCCTTTCTGAAATGTAAACTGACGTCATTTACACTGACTTTAGTAAGGCGTTCTACTCTGTGCACCGTGACATTTTACTTTTTAAACTTGACCGAAAAGGTTTCCCTCCGTCTCTTTTGCTTTGGATTTGTTCTTATTTAAAAGGTAGGACCCAAAGAGTAATGCTGAGGCTGACTACTTCAAAACAGGTTCACGTTACTTCTGGTGTTGCTCAAGGTCGTCATCTTGGATCTTTACTCCTTACTCTTTTAATAATGATCTCCCCTCGGTTATATCACATGTCCGTGCATTTATGTATGCGGACGATGTGAAACTTATTCTATCATACACTTATCCCCTACATCATTCTCGTCTACAAGATGATTTGAACGCTATGCAACTTTGGTGTTCGGCCAATAAATTCCATCAAAATTGTTCAAAGTGTATGTTTATGACCTTCGATCGTACTACACCTTATCTTGTTAGTTATACAATTGACAGTACTTCATTGCAACGTGTACTAACAGTTAAGGATCTAGGCGTTCTTTTTGATTCTAAGCTCTTCTTCTATCTGCATACAGATACCATCGTTAATGAGACAGAAGGTGTACTTGGATTCATTAATCGATGGTCTAAAGAGTTTACCGATCCTTTTATAACGAAACTTCTGTACATCTCTCTTGTTCGCCCTATTCTTGAATACTGCTTTTGCATCTGGTCTCCGCAGTATAACAATAGCCAGGATCGTATTGAATCGGTTCAGAAGCAATTTCCGCTTTTTGCCATATGAGGTTTAAATTGGGACCCCAATCTTCGGTTGCCATCCTTCCAGGCTGCTTCTTATTAATCTTCCGTCGTTAACCAACCGTAGGACAATTCTCGGTGTTGTCTTCCTACATAAGTTGATTGTTGGCGATATAGATTCTTCCTTTCTGTTAGGGCGTCTTCAATTCTTGGTTCCATGTAGACTTACCAGGAATTATCGCCCCATATTTCTACCAACGTGCTCAACAGATTACGCTATGCACAATTCTTTTCGCGAACTATGCAAATATTACAAAAGTTTGCATCACGTTTTCTCCACCGAAGTTTCTCTACCCCTAATAAAATCGTTGCTTTCAGGATACCATCGGGAAGTCACTGACCATTCCCAGCTATGAGCAGGGGCGTAGCTTGCCGGACAGGCTATATAATTTCCCCTTTATCCTATCTAGTTAACACTTTATATATCTAGAACAAATTTCTTTACTTTGTTAATAACCTTTTTCTTTACTTTTTCCCATTTATTGTTTTTTCTTAAATAATATAGTATTTTAAATTATTATTTATAAGTTTTACTTAAGAACACTATTTTCTCTACTAACACCCTTCTTCTTAGTCACTGACGAAATTACCTGTGAAAAGGGGCATAACTGGCCGGACGGGCAAACAACACCTCACTTGGTCGGTGATTCTATTAGAAAATTGTATATTCTAAATAGGCACTTATCACTTAATTCGTATGATTTGATATATTGAATAATTGCCCTCTCGAAAGAGTGTGCGTGTGCACAAGTAGCGAGTCGCAAAAATGAACATTTTAAATTTTTGGTTTTTTCTCAGAATTTTTCCACAAGCCGTAGATGATTTACCCTTGCAGAACTTAGTTTTTTTTTTTTACTTAAAGCAAAATAGGTAGCCACAGTAAAAAAAAAAAATTTGAATATTAAATATAAATATTTCATTTATATAAAAAATAAATAAAAATAGATCAGATTCTCTTATTATGCCTGACTGGGAGAAGAAATAAAGATAGAGCATTTGAATGTGCATCTTGCTACCACAGGCACACAATTGAAGAAAATATCTCTGGCTCACGACAGACGCCGTGATCTACTTGTGCGCACTTCCACACAACACAAACATATGTATGTTTGTATATTGTGGGGTTTTTTGAGAAGCTATGCAGAGAGAAAGAGATGCACACAAGCGCGCAAAGCAATTAGTGAGAGCGAGGCACACTCTGCACATGCATACACACATATGTATTTGGGCTGTATGAATTTAAAACTAACATATATACACAATATTATGAAGAGGCATCAGCCGCAGTGACGTTGTGCGCTGAGCGAGATGCGGCTTCATACTGAACGATCGGCTTTTGAGGCCGGCGTTGGGCTGACACTCTCAGCAGTCTTACTCTATCTGGGCACACTAAAATGGTCGCGGGCAACCATGGGGCTCACCTGTTGCGATTTATCGTGTTTCGATTATTCTGCTGTTTGACATATCTATGCATTGTATAGTTAGTGCTTGCAAATTTCTGAAGAGTAATATATAAGTATCAAATACCTTTCATTTTATAACTGTCGCTACCTCCCCGCCATCACTTATAGCTATAAAATAAATAAATAAATCAGTTTAAGCTACCGAACAATTTAACACACAATTTTAATGCAAAGGTACTTTTGAGAATAAACGAATATTCTATAGCACAATAAGATCTACAGCTGAAAATTTCATCAAAACCAGTTAAGGAACACAAAAGATGTTAAAGAAAACGTCTGCTTATGTTGGCACGTGCTTGCAGCATCTATCGCAAACTGCAAGCATTTTTGTATACATGTACACACACACATTCATGCGTGTCTTTATTCAATTCTATGAACAGCATTGCACTTGCGACTCTATTGTATTCTGTGCTGTGTGCATGTGCTGCTTCGTTTTTATTTTTCTCCGAAAATGAATTTTTGGTATCGCTGTTGAGTAGAGGCGACGACAAGTGATGCGGTCTGTTACGGGTTCGAGTCCTATGAAGGGTATCTATTTTTTAATAAAGTTTTATTGCTGCTAAAG